TCAATAATTTGGTATTGATGTGCTAATCATGAGATATTTGTTGGACATCCAGGTGCAGATATTGAATAAGCAGTTATGTACACAAATCTGAAGATGCAGGAAGTGAGAGGAGAGGTCTAGTCTGGAGATAGAAATTTGGGAATTGACTAAGTGTCAGTGGTATTTAAGCCATGAGTTTACCAAAGGAGCAATAAAATAGAGAGGAGAAGACAACTGAAGGTTAAGCCCTGATTGACCACCTCAATCAGAAAAGATGACTGAGCAGTGGGGTAGCAGGGCATCAGGAGAGTGGGCTGGAAGTGAAGTGAAGAATGTATTTCAAGGACGTCTATAACTGACCTTGTAAAATGTTGCTGATGGATCAAGCAATGTGAAGTCTGACAATTGACAACTGGATTTAGCAATGATGGGGTAATTGCTGACCTGGAGAAGAACAGTTTTAGAGGACATGTAGGAGTGAGAGACTGAATGGAGTGGATTTTCAAGAAACAATAGGAAGAAAAAAGTGAACATAGAAATGGAGAGAATAAGAATAGAAAATGCTGTCAAGGAGTTTTGCCATAAAGAGGAGCAGGGAACGGGGTGTTTCCTAGAGGAGGAAGTAGATTCAAGGAGTTTGTTTGTTTGCTTGCTTTTGTTTTTAGGACAGGAAAAATTAAATCATGTTTTTCTGCTGAAAGGAATGATCCAGTAGGGAGGGGAAATGGTGATGGTACAGGAGGGAGAGGGGAAAGGCTTTCTGAAGTGATGTCCTGGAGTTGGAGAGAAGGGATAGAATGGACAGTTCAACCCTTATAATAGGAGGAAAGGCAGAGTGTTTGGCACAGATGGAGGTAGGTGGATAAATGTGGGTGCTGGCCCTTGGAAAATCTCTTCTGATTCTATTTTCTGAGCAAAAGTGGAATAAAAGGAGGTGTTAGATGTTTATATTTATCTAGAGAGAGGGAATAGATTCAGCAATTGCTGTATGATTGCTTAGCAGCAGTAAGAACCCATTTGGGCTTGTAGGCATAAATATGAAAGGAGAGCCATCAGCATATATTGTTTTTTTCTGTAATCATGATCAGCTCTGCAGGGGCAGGCACAAGTAGGCAGTGGATGGGATGTAATTAGTGTTTGGGTTTTACCAACTGAATACCAGGAAGGAAGAGACGGGCAGTGGAGTTGAGGGGGTAAGCAAGGGAATGACTTTAATATAAGGCGAGTGAGGACATGAAGATGGTGAGTATCCAGGTTATCCCCTTACCTCTAAAGACATACTATGTAAGCAAGTGCCAGTGGAGTTTATGAGGAAAGCTCTCTTTATGTGACATTTTTCTCCCGTATATCAATATAGCTTGGAGAGAGATTTGGGGGTGGGAGTGAGTTGCAAAGGAAAATCACCCACATCATTTGCCAAGCAATGTCTTCTTGGACCTGAACTGAAGGATGGATAAGACAGAGATATTAATGGCTAATATTTCAAAAGAGCAGGTTTTTCACGTTAACAAAATCTATCAGTGGAAATATTTGTCACAGCAGTAAGCGTACCCAATGATAATGCTTTGCTTAGACAACTTGGGCCAGTATATATATTTTCTACAAGAGCTAGTCAAAAGATTTTAATGAGAGTATGAATTCCACAACGAAACACAGCACTGAGATTTCTACCTCAGTTAACTTCTTTGTGCATTGAATACATTATATTTAATACTAATTTGCATTAAAATGATAAATGCAACAATTCCTTGCATATATAGAAGACAAACAGGAAAACATGATCATGATGCCACTTCTACTAGACATACTTAGGTACTTTCTTAAAATTGCTTTTAGGTACTCAAGCATTACCTCCGTGCACCCTGTGCACTCAAATATTTTTAATTAGTGTTCTCTAAATAGCTTAAATAAAGTGAATAATTCCATTATTTATATTTCCAAATAAATTAAATATTGTTTTACAGCAATAATTCTTAGATTTTTGAAAATTGTTAAATGTTTTTTAAATGATAGGCTATAAAATTAACAGAGTTCCTGCTTTGATTTGTTAGTTAAATTAAATTTGTTTTGTTTATATGTACATTTGTTGAATAAGGACACTGCTATTCTACATAACAACAAAGTTGACCAAGCAGTGGTATTTAAAAATTTCTTTTGAAATGTCCATATCTCAACAAAAGTTATACACCTAACATACCACATTTGTGGAGAACATGTTTAGAATCTTCTGTGGTAGGAAAAAAACATATGTAACAAATAGCTTTTTTCATTTTTCACTTTCTAACTATTAATTATTCTAAAGATTATATTTTCCTTGTCTAATAATGACTGTAAGGCATGACAACAACCATTCCTTAAAAGCACCATTCTGCCTCTGAGAATAAGCTGATATTTTTCTTAAGGCATATTAATCCTCTCCATCCACAGAAATTAGCATGCCTGCCGACGAAGTGAATCCCTTACACAGGTTGTGTGAGAATAACGAAATCGGTAACGTGACTTTTAGGAGTATCATTTTCAGGGTCCAGCAGATGGGGAGTTATTCCCAGCTCTGTCACCCATTTATGAGCTGTGCGAATTCAGCCAAACTTCATCTTTTTAGCCAGCCCCGGTGGCCTAGTTCATTTCCTAGTCAGGGAACCACACCATCCGTCTGTCGGTTGTCTTACTGTGGCGGCTGTGTGTTGTGTGATGCTGAAAGCTATGCCACTAGTATTTCAAACACCAGCAGGGTCACCCATGGTGGAGAGATTTCAGTAGAGCTTCCAGAATAAGACAAACTAGGAAGAAGGACCTGGCTATTCCCTTCTGAAAAAATTGGCGACGAAAACCCTATGAATAGCAGCAGAGCATTGTCTGATATAGCGCCAGAAAGTGAGAGGATGGCAGAAAAGGACGGGGCAGGGTTCTGCTCTGCTGTACATAGGGTTGCTAGGTGTCAGAATGGACTCAATAGCACTAACAACAAAAACTTCATCTTTTTATGCCTCAGTTTTGTCATCTTTGCTCCCCTCACACCCTCGAATAGAATATTAAATACAAGAGATTAGGACTTGATCTGGTTTAACAAAGAATCTCTAGTGCTCAGCACACAGATGGGTCCTGAACAAATATTTGTTGAATGAATAAATATATAAACTATATACTTAGAAGAATCTAAGAATAGTAATTGTATAATACCGATATTTTGAGGATAAAGTGGCAAAATACATGATGAATACAGAGCAGAGTCCTGGATCACAGTAACCATTCTTATTGGAGAGAGTTCTAGAAAGTCAGGGTAAATTTGCCTCCTGTGTCTAACCTCTATTTCCCCTTTAGACTGTGGAGAGATTTATACTAGGACTAGTGGCACTATGCCATGCTCTAGAACCTGTGAACTGTGTAAGAGGGAAAATATTTATTATATTTCTACTCATATCTCCTAAGTCTTTCACAATATTTGGGAGAAGTGGAAACAAGCCATGTGGATTAAAGTATTTTAGCGTACAATCTAAAACTCATGCCATCAATGAAAATGTTTTTACAGCTTAAGCATGCATACCAGAACACCGGAGGTAGTAAAAATAATACTTCACTGATTTTAAGGTGCGTATTTTAAATTTTCACATATCCAAAATCTGGATGCATTTTACAATCAATGGCATCTTAAAATTGATAGCCTGCTCTCTTTTTTCTTCCTTCCTTCCTTTCTTCCTTCCTTCCTTTCTTCCTTCCTTCCTTCCTTGCTTCCTTCCTTCCTTGCTTCCTTCCTTCTTCCCTCCCTGCCTCCCCTCCTTTCCTTCTAGTTCATGATATAATAGGGTGTCAAATAGAATTGATGAAATATGGTATAGCCATATATTAAAGCAGTATTTCTCAATACTTCTTTCTTATCACCCCTCAACCCCGGCAAGGAGCCTCTTAGGCATTTTTTTCTAATTTCCCACCCCATGAAATTCTAATACCATAGATATACTCTATAACTGTTTATGTATTGCATATATATATGTGTTTTATGAATAAAAAGAGTAAGATATTTTTGCTTCCCAAGAACCAATTTTCATTCTCTTGGGGGCACTATTACACCCATTGAGAATGCAGATATTAAAATGATACTCCTTATTATGCCTAGTTTTAAAAATCTCATTTACTAGATTACTATGATTTGGGAATCATAAACTAATTCTTAGGTTTAGAGCTTTTGGCTTTAATTACATAACAGAATGTCTAGGAATTTTATTATTATCATGAATTACTGTTAAAACACTTGTCCAAATGCGTGCAAACTTTGAACATTTGCTATTTACCCCAACAGTCCAAGAGCTATCCATATTTTTTGTTAACAAATAAAAGATCTTCAAGTTCACCCAGTGAAATCATTCAACATATCATTCTCATTTTGTGAAATAAGACTTATAATTTCAGTGTATAAATTTAGGATGTTCACTACCTCACCTTTACATATTCATGATTTTGAAGACATAACTTGCACACTACATCAATAATGAGATTTTTTAAGACCATCTAATTTCCATGGAGTACTAAGAGATAGCTACTTTATACTCCACAAATTGCACTCAGTGGGGAGGATGAAGATGTGCAATTGTGGAAGCCTTTGTGCATCACTCTTCTACTGCAGTTTAAGCAGTTGCAGAATCCCACTTCCGATAGTAAAGATGGAGTAAAGGGCCCAGTCCACTTGTGACCAGTGGTTTGCACCAGAGGGAAGATAGGGACAACATCTATGACCATCAAATCAAGATTTTCTCTTGAAAAGCCAATTTTTATATTCAATGGCTTTAACTGATGGAGAAAGGACTGATTTGTTTACTTGGAGAATATCTTTAAATTGCAAAGTTATTCAGTGTGTTCTTAAATATTCACTTATCTTTTCTCTGGGCTATGCAGTTTAACTTCCATTTTTTTAAATTAGTGGTGCAAAAAACTTTTAAAATTAGTGATACATAAAACTTTTAACTTTGTTGTAGGAATTGCAATATTATTTTATATTTGACAATTCAGATGTGTATATTGGCTTAGTTGTACTGGGTTGTGTTAAATGGCTATTCTTGAGGTTCAAATGTGTCAAAGAAATGTATAGTTGTTTTGGGGGATGCGAACTATTTTAGTAGAACAAGCAATGTATCAACTAAAATTAACACAGGAAGTACTCAAAAGAGACTCCTCAGCAGTATACAGACATCCATATCAAGGCTTTATCAATCGAGTTAGTTTTACACAAGCTTTTGTAAATAAGTTGAAAGTGAATTCAAAACCAGAAATCATCTCCTGCACTGCTCCTAGTACTTGCTCTTTCTCTGCCTTTTAATCGAAGCATCTCCATGATACTCCGGGCATAGACATCTCTCAGGTTCACGCTGATATATGAGTCAGTGGCTATATTCTTGGTAAGCTTCTTCAGAGCCTCGCGCTGTCTAACAGCTGCTTCCTTGAGCTTTAAGGTGAAGTAGCAAGCAGAGAAGCGGTCGTTAATAATAGCAATAGGCAAGGCCAAGACGAGGATTCCCGATAAGATACACATGAAGGCCACGATTTTGCCCGTGGTGGTGTCTGGTCTAATGTCCCCATATCCCACGGTGGTCATGGACGTTGTGGCCCACCACCATGCACAAGGGACACTTGTGAAGGTTGTGTCAGGAATGCTTTGCTCAGCAAAATATTCCACAGTTGAAAATATAGAAATTCCCACAGACAGAAACAGGAGCAGTAGGCCGACTTCTTCGTAACACTGGGTGATTGTCATTCCAAGAGAGCGTAATCCTGTAATAGAGCAACTGTTGTCAGTCATTGGCACCTCTCCTTCCCTCCCCACTCCTTCCCTCTCTTTCCCTCTTCTTCCCTGCTATCCACCCAGAAACATGCATTTCACATTTAATATGTCTCCAGCATTGGGCAGTGTTCTGGGGATGATAGATGATAAATGATAAATCGTAATCTTTGTCTTCAGGAAGCTCGTAGTCTAGTTGATGGGGCCAGATTGAGAAGGACAGAAAGAAACATAATTAGACTCATTCATTCACTTATGTATTTATTAAACACTGCTATTTATTAAAAAATGGTGAGAGATGACACTAAAAGGCAGGCAGAGGATGTATATAGGAATTTGTACTTTACTCTACACAATGAAAGGCGTCTGCAGCATTGCATGTGGAGGACTTACTTGGTCAGATTTGCATTTCAACGCATCACTTAGGCACATTTTTCAATGCCAGTTTTATGTTGTCTCCTTATATTTTATGTGTCTGTTTTTCTCATCATCCATTAAAGTTTAATACAATCAGGGTATCATTATCTGAAAGCCGGAGGCAGTAAAGGATGTACACCATGAGAATGAAGTGAAGCAGCAGAAGCAAGACAGGTATCAGTGCAAAATGGACCTGAGACCATCATATGCACACTCAGAGGACACTCTTAGAGGTCTATCAGGAGGGCTTCCTGAACTCCCATGACACCCATTGAAATTCTCTTCCTTAATCCCAAAGCTATAGGGGAATATCTCCCTTGAATACAAGAATTTCTGCTTTCCTGTAAGGAGACAGACCTGAATACAGAATATTCCTCCATTGCAAAAAGGCATGGGGGACTGGAGACACTAGGGAACTCACTCACTATGAGGCATTGGTGGATTCCCCACTGTTGATTCACTGAGCGTCTGGGAGACAGACCCAAGAGAGTCCGCTCCCATCTCTGAAAAGACTAAGCCCTAAGGAGAGTAAGATGAGCCCACAACGAGACTATGATCTGAATAAGCTATCTTCCTGAACACTAGAGAGATACTGCTAAAAGCGTATCCACATTGTAAAGTCATATCAACCTGGTGTCACAATGATATTGTCTCCAAAGTCCGGAGCAATACCTCTTAGAATCATTTAAAAGTTTTTATTCACTCACTAGAGACTACTTGAAATGCATTAATACACTATTTGTGCTCTTATTATTTTGAATTTTGTTCTTGAAATTTTGAGATATTCTTGAATTATTTACCAGCTATTTTTAAAGATCAATGAATATTAATTTTGATCTTTCACTTCAACAGAAAATTTTTTAGAATATCTTTAGAATATCTTTTAGAAAACTGGCCTTGGTGTCTCTGTATTGAATTGCATTTCTGAAATAAATTGACAGCATATGAGGAAAAGCATGGGGTTTGGGGAGACTGCTTTCATTTCAAGATGAAGTGTTCTCAACAATTTTGTAAAGAAACACAAAGTGGTCTGAATTTTTGCATGTTACATCTATTAACTCAGATAATCCTTAAAAAACAAGATGAGATACACATCGTAATTATTATGCCATTTTACAGATGAGGAGACTGAGGCACAGAGAGGCAGCATATCTAGGTCAAAGCTACAGAGCCAGGATTTAAACCTAGGCTGTCTGGCCTGCCATTGTCCTCCCAAGGAGCTGTTATTCTATAATACCTCAATTTATTTTATAGTTAATACATGGGGAAATAAGCCAACTATGTCCATATTTTGCTAAATATAATGCTTAAGATAAAATTGTCAAATATTTATGCAAGTGTTCATATCTTTCAATAAACTAAGGCTTTATTAAAGCTTTGTACTGCTTTAGAACTGAAAAAAACCTTTGAAGAGGTGACATTGTGGAAATTACTATTATTTTCTTTTTCCTTTCTTTTGGGAAAAAAATGTAGTCTTTTACTGGGTGTTTTTAAATTGAATCCTGTGAAGAGTTTATAAATACTGGAAGAAAGCATCCTATTATGTGTGTCAGAAAACAAAGAGTGGTTCTTCAAAAAGTTGTTGGAAACCCCATTATCAAATCCTGGTGTGTGAGACGAGCTAGGAAAATACACTACCAAAATTATGTTAGGATAAGTCCTAATTACCTTAGAGATGTGGAAAAAAAAACCATCTGAGGTTAACTACTGAGGACAACTACCATCAGCTTCTTCAAGGTGACCAGTCAGGCATATATCTAAGGAAATAAGGTGGTTATAGGACTCTCTAGCCAAATTATTTGCATTCCTATGTATTGCATTAATACGAATTGTATTAAATATATGTCATCCTTACTCCAGCGTTTCTCAAAGGGTGGCCCAAGAATCACCTACATCAAAATCACTTGTGAACTTGTTAAAATGTATGCTCCTGGATCCAACTCCAAATACTAAAATCTAACTCTACGGATTGGGGCTCAGAATTTGCATTTTAACAAGCTTTTCAAGCGATTCTTATTTTCATTAAAGTCAAACATAAGGTAACACGTATGTACTCCAGAACATTCAACAGCTGCAGGGCCAGCCACTGAGAATCATTAGTCCCGAGGATGCAAGGATCATATTTAATGGATTTGTGTGATTTCCCCTGACTTTGACTATAATTTTCCTTTTTTTTTTTTTTTTTTTGTGAGGAAGATCAGCTCTGAGCTAACATCCATGCCAATCTTCCTCTTTTTGCTGAGGAAGACTGGCCCTGAGCTAACATCTATTGCCAATCCCCCTCCTTTTTTTCCCCCCCTTTTCTCCCCAAAGCCCCAGTAGATAGTTGTATGTCATAGTTGCACATCCCTCTAGCTGCTCTATGTGGGACGCTGCCTCAGCATGGCCGGAGAAGCGTGCGTCAGCGCGCGCCTGGGATCTGATCCCAGGCTGCTAGCAGGGGAACGCGAGCACTTAACTGCTAAGCCACGGAGCAGGTCCTGACTATAATTTTCACGTATAATTATGTGTGTGTGTTGTGTGGAGATTTTCTAGGGAGAATATTCATTAGATTTTCAAGTCTTTATGATACACACAAAAAGCAAATGAATTCCTGTTACCATCTCATACATCCTAGATCAGGGACAATAAAATTCTCAGATACTAGATAAAGCACTTAATTCGTGTCTTCTGCTTTCTTTCAAAGTAAATATTTCCGATGTTCCTTCAAAAATTACGGGAAAGCCACCAGTGCCTGGTCATCTCTCTTTGCAAAGCCAGAGAAGGCTCTGGAGGACTGACTTTTTCTTCTGCCAGGAAACCTGTGTGGTAAGCACTTCCTTGGACACAGACAAGAAACTCGCTTACGTCCCTATATGTTATATATAATTTATGTGTATATTTTTATGTGCTGTTTATGCATATTTTATGTGAAACTTTCTAGAAGCAGAGGGTCTTTAATTTTTGTGTATCTTCTGGGCGCTGGGTTAAGGTAAATTGAGGTTAACAAATGGTCAAATTGTTTCTCAAATGCCTTATGGAGGGAAAGTGTATGAGAGGCATCTTCTCATATCTATGATAACAACTTCAAGGTTTTGCTTCCCAATGCCTTTTTGGAAATCATGGTTGGGTAAGGTACGGGAGTTGCTAATTTTGAGAATCAATTCAGAGTGCTTCCCTTGGACTGTGGTCAAAGCACTAATGCTTACAAACAACTGCAGATTAAAAGGCATCAATGAAATCTGAATACCTGTGGAATGCCTGCCCAGCTTTAGCATGCGCAGAGCCCTGAGCAGCCTCAAAACCTGGACGATACGCCCCACGTTTTCCAGCTCCTGGGTGGTCTGGCTCCCACTCAGGCTCTCTACCAGAAGAGTGATGTAGAAGGGCAAGATGGCAAGGAGGTCTATGATGTTTGGCACCTTTCTCAGGAAGCGGCACCTGTCCCGCACACACAGGAAGCGCAGGACAAACTCCCCGGTGAACCAGCTAATGCACACGTACTCCAGGATCTCCAGCAGCTGCAGGTCCAGCCAGCTTAACTCGGCTGACATCAGGGCCATGTTGACGATGGACACCACCACGAAGATGATGGAGATGACCCCAAAGATTCGGGCAGCTGTGGAAGACCCAGGTTTCTCCAGGATGTTCCAGAGCTTCTGGCGGACAGTGGGACAAGGTCCTTGTGAGAAGTCCTGTTCACTCTCATGTTGACTTTCCTGGTCTTCTGTGTCCTTCTTAAAGTCTAAAGTTTCACTCAGCTCCTTTCTTCTGAAGTATCTTTTAGAGAAGACAACTTAGTGATTAATCTAACTTTTTTTAAAATACAGAAGTAAAAAGAGAATTAAACTTAGCAGTGAGGTCATGCTTTTTATTTCAGTAAAATGCAGAAAATATCCATTTGTATTTTATCCAGATTGTCTCCTGCCCATAGTATTCAAAATTTCTCATTTACGATGATTATTTTTAAAATGACACTTTCTTGGTAGACGTTTATACAAAAGGATCTATACATAGCAAAGCTACTTCAGATTAATGTATTTTTTTTTACCTAATTTCTTGTAACAAGAACAGAAGTTTGCCATATGGAACTTTTTTGTGTGTAATGGAAAGGTATTCATGAAAAAATGATAGTAATTCCAAGATAATAGCAAAAACATCATCAAAGTCCCACTATCATTCACAGTGAAGGAACAATTTCTATCTTTTGTATTTAGAGGAGTTCTCCATCCAAGTTTTTAAAGCTAGTGTGCTAGGTTTGATAAATGATGAAGCTCCATACTGAAACCTACATCCCTATACATGCGTCTTTTGGAGCATAACTTTTCTGACTCATCTATTCAATCACCAAAGATTTATTACAGGCCTCACTTCCCTTGCCTGATCAATGAATTGACACACATTCACTCGACAAAGAAAGTTAAAAACTTCCAATCTAAAAGCTGGCTTTGATGCTTTCTTTCCAGCCCCCACTGCCACCCCACCTTCCAGCTCAGAAGCGGCCGCTGGTATTCTTAGGCCTGGGTTCAGCGAGGCTTGTGTAAAGCCTCGACTCTTTACCTCTGCCGCCCTCCTTCCACTGCGCCCGCCCCCACGCCCTGCCACTGCGCGCCTCGAGGGTACCTGTCCCTGCAGCAGGAGTCGATGCTGAGCTCATCGATGCCCCAGTACTGGATCTCCTGAAGGAAGGAGAGCGCGCACAGCTGCTCCATGACGTGCAGGCGGCCGGTGCGGTAGTAGTGCAGGACGTAGCGGAATGCTTGGGAGCTGCGGTCGAAGAAGTACTCGTTGTCCACGGGATTGGCGTCGTCGCAGAACTCCAGGGGGCTGGGCACGGCGGCTAGAGCCCCGCGGCGCCGGCACGAGGCCACCACCACGGCCAGCTTGCCAAGGCGCGTGTGCGGGAAGCAGGACAGCGCCTGCTGCGAGAGCACAAAGCGGCTGCCGCCCACGTTGACCGTGAAGCAGTCCCCGAGCGCCAGGGGCTCCCCTTCACCCTCGCTGCAGAAGACGCTGGATTCCAGCGAGGTCAGGGAGCAGCTGTCCAGCGGCGAGTCCGGCGGCGCCCGGCCGCGGGGAGGCAGCTCCATCCCAGCCGCTGCTGCCTAAGGGCGCCACAAAGTTGGGGGCGCGCCGGAAGCCTCGGTCCCGCGAGGGCGGTGGCACGGCCCCTGCTGGCGCCCGGGATTCCCCGGGCTCCCGAGGGGAGGGAGATGCCTCCCACCCGCGCACCCCTACTTTCTCCACCCCTTGTACTCCTTCCCCCTCTCGCTGCTGGGGAGCTGCGAGTGCGCGGAGTCTGGGAGGAGAACAGGGGTCGCGCCCAGGGAGATGCTCAGGTGTGGTCCAAGCCGAGGGCAGCCCCAGGGCACGATGCCGGTCGCCGAGGCCCTTCCCGGACTTATGCACTCCCTCCCAACTTTGTAATGGAGGCCCCCAGCCCCGGAGGTGGACGCGGTGAAAGCCTCGCTACTAGGGGGGTGGACCGGGTGGGGAGGGGAGGGAGGAGGGAAGTCTAGAGCGGAGGAGGACAAGATGACTCTTGGTGAAACGCAAGCAAGGGGAATGGCAAGACTCACTCCTGCCCGCAGGAGACCAAAGAGAAAAGTTCACACAGCAGAGGAAGTCGTAACCGAGTCTGGGTCCCTTTGAACTCGAGGGTGTATATTCCTCCCTCTTTTACTGTGCAGGCTTCACAGGCCTCCCCGGGAGGGTTCACCGGGGGTGTGAGCACGTGGGGGACGGTGCTCTGGGCGAGGGGGCCGCATCATTTGCTCCCATTCACTCTCATTCTAGTCTGATTGTCATTCACGCTCCATTTTCTTCTCCCTCCTCGCTCAGGTTTTGACCTCCTGGTTGAGAAATAAGGATAATTAATAATGACTTTTAATTGAAGTCCCCGTGAGTCACTAAGAACGAGGGGTCGCCATTGCCAGCTGCCCCCGCGCGTGGGGAGGCACTTGGCGCCCTTCGGTTTAGCCATTTCTGTCCTACAGGTTTCCCGGAGAGCAGGTGTTGCAGGAGCGTTCCCTGGCACCCAGCGGAGCTCTCATTTTAGGAGAAGGGAAGGCAAAAAGACAAGGAACGGAACAGGCGTGGGCTGAGGCAGGAGTTTAAATAGTAACGACGACTCGGTACAGGGAGAAGCCGAGCACCTTGCCCAGGTGAGACTGGAAGTGTACCCACGGGGCCCCTTGGAGCCGCGCCCTGGCCAACCTGTTGGACACGAGGCGGGGCTGGGGAGGAGGGCAGGGTGACTCACCTGCGGCGCCGGGCACATCTGGGCTGCGCTCCGTGGGCGCCGCTGGGTGTGTAGCCTTCCTCTGATCCTCCTGGTCTACACGTGAGGTCTGACTTGACAGGTCCAGGAGCAAAACTGCTCGCAGCCAAGCTCTTCGCCGGCGCTTGTTGCCTAGCCTCGCCTCGTCTCCACCCGCCTCCTGGCTCTGGCCCCTCGGAGGCAGCGGAGAGTGGCCGCCCCCGCCCGCGCTCGCTCGGAGCCATTCGCGGTTCCCAGCACAGCTGTGGGGAACGCAGGGAGCGGAGGGAGGTGAGACCGGAGGAGGAAGTGAGGCGCTCCGTGACTGAACATTATATTCATCCTGAAGACACTTCAACGATTCCTGTAGTATTAGATTCCTATTTCCCTGAATCTGTGTGCTCACAAATGCTCAAGAACAAAATTTTCCAGTTGCATAAGTCTGCTAAGCTCACAGTTAGGGCAATTATATTAACTGCTGTGTGTGGCGTGGTTCAAGGTTTTCTCACTATTTCCAGCAAGCATCTGGGAATCCTGCATTTTTTCAAAAGTCTTTGCAAGAGGGAGTGAACCAGACTCATCTCCTTTATTTCCTTGTAAGAATTTTAGGAAAAATAAAGATTTGAGCAGGCAGCTCGATGCAGCAGCCAGAGCTATTTCATAGATTTGACTTGAAATGTGACTGGTTACTCCCAACCGGCTGTGGGACATCCAGCTTTCATTCACTTCATGGGCCTCAATGCCTTCCTCAGTAAAATTTCAGGTGTTAATAAAAACACCCAACATTTATTGAGCACTTACTTTATGCCAGGGAATTTTGTAGGTCCTTTACTCATTCAGTACCTTATTTAATTATAATAATACTGTGAGGTAGCAGTATACCCATTTTATAGAAGGGGAAACTGAGCGGCAGAGCAATTAAGTGATTTACTTAGGGCCACATAGTCCAAATTCAAATCTGGGACTGCTTGTCAGAGGCTGCCCTTATAAACACAATGCTTGGGACATATCATTTTTGTGTGATTTTTAAATAAATCAAAGTATGGTTGCTTTTATTTATGTGTTTATTTTTGCAAGTTTCTAAAGAATGGCAAGAGTTTAGTGATGTATTTTCCCTGATCTTGCCACAAATGTTTATTGAGCATCTGCTATGTGCCAGGCATTATTGTAGGTGCTTCAGATAGATCATTAGTGTGAATAACTTGAATCAAATGATTAGCAATGGAGGTCTACCCTAGCTTTACAGATTGTGGTGAGGAAGGAGGAAAACTTTCAGAGGAGAATGACAGCTTTAGGGGAGGAAGGAGATCTTGGACAGGTAATCAGAGGTTAGCAAAATGTGACTGAGGCTTGCAGGTCCCTTACACAGCCACCAGGACCCTGGACTTCAGTTGTGGTTAGTGGTGTCCTGTAGAAGTAGTTATAACAATAATAACCGTTTAAGTGTCAGGCCCAAGCTAAACTTCTGAATTCTCACAATGGTCCCATGAGGTAAGTATTGTCATCCTTAGTTACAGCTCCCAACTCAGAGGCTCACAGGTACTACGTAACTTTCCAGTCACATGTGAAGGAGTATAACAAGGGATTGAAACCAGGATCCAGATATCGTCTCAACAGTTAAGGGCCTAAAATTTTCAATTGCGCTTCAATTGTGATTAAAACAATTTCCACAAGTTAAAACAATCATAACTAGAGAGATGATGACTAGTTAACTGGGAATATATAAACACAAATGACCCATTTTAAAATATAGAGTCTCTTAGGTAATGAAAAATCCCTGCCTTCTTCCCTGTCCCGTTGCTTTTAATCAATTTTCTCTCCTGGCTCATTGATTGCCCAAGTTTGAGTCAGAGAGCCCAATGAAGAGGATATGATAAATAAGAGGGGAAAAAAGTCCATTCAAAGAATATCCTTCCTGGTCCCTGATCTTGATCTGAAATATACCCTGAAAGTATGTCAAGACGTGAAAGGAGAATTGTTGATAAGTAGTTGGGGGTGGTGAGGTCTTGCTTTCAATTTTATTCCTACATAGCATGGGAGGAATGTGATTGTCATGTAGGAGGTAGCACAGTATTGAGATGTGAAAACTCGACAATCTGATGGCTTTGGGTGTATTTCCCTAGTCATCAGATGTTACATTTGAGTGATTTTCCGTTAGCAGTCTTGTTATGAAATGCTCTACTGGTATTTGGCTTTATCTATGAAGTCTTCCAAATAGCGATGTGAATATTGAATCTCCAGGTACAACTAGAGTTTTAATTCTTCCAATTTTTGTGACTATTTCTAAATTTATTAACGAACAGCATGCATTCTTAACATTGGTATTTTTAAATTGGATTAAAAGAAAAACCAAAGCATACTTTTAATGTCTGACTCTATTGATGACAACCATGAAAATAAAAGTTAAAAGTCATTTGAGGTACATTAGAAATTCCCATTATTAAAAATCTGGAACATTTTATTTAGGTTTTTGAAAAAATAATGAAAATGAATTTATATTAATAGTGTATTCTTTTTTGTGGTTTATTTAAATAATATATGATGATATTTCTGTGAAATCATTAATTTTCATCTTTTATATGAGTGTTTAAAAATGATTAAACATATATGATTGTAAGTCATTGAAATATTTTTTTAGGGGAATGTACATTTTTTATTAATTTATATCCAAAATACTGCCCGTTTACATTTATTTTTAATAATTAGATAGAGGAAATGTAATGAGTGAATAATTTTGCATAAAGAGCTTTGTAGAATTCAGCTTGAGTAACACTGCCCTTTCATTTTCAACCCCCTCATTGTAGGCTCATACATTTGCACTAAAATCTCTTTAATTTTTATCATTCATTAACAATGCACATCATATTTCATGTGAGGTGTGTATGCCTATCTTTGACTCTGTATTTGATTTCCTAGGGGCTGACAACCAGATGAGCTAATTGTAATGACGTTTAAAAATGCCTTTGAGTATGGACAAAATGACTTTGTCTTCTCTCCCTTCCTTGAGTTGGGATATGTTTAAAGGTAAAGGAAAACTTGCCAAACTCTATGTATTCATCTTTCCTGTATCTTCTAGGTGCTTGGAATAAATCCTCCCAACTGTATAACAGCCCACTCTAATGCAGAATTTAGCTTAATGTGGGCTTGTTCTGGATTCCTTCCAAGGGGAGGCAATTATCTTTGGAAGTACCCAAGAACTCATTTTTATAGCCTAGTCTGCTACAGGATGGGTTGATGATGGTGATGATGAGGATAATAATATGATAATATTAGCTACTACCTTTGCTTATTCAACCTCTGCTCTGTCTTTTATTAGCTATGTGACATTAACAAATTTCTTAAGCTCTCTAAATCTCATTTTCCTCATCTGTAGAATAGGGATAACAATAGTATTTACTTTCTGTTATTGTTTTAAAATTAAATAAGATAATTCATTTAAATGTTTTGTTCAGTGTCATTATCCTTCTTGTCGCTTCTATTATTATTATAACGTTTCAGGAATGTTTTTCTAATCCCCCCTTACTGAGCACCTACTCTGTGATAGGTACCGTGTTAAAAGTTTATCTCATTTCCTTTATAATTCACATAATCCTACCAGAAGGATAATATTATCATTCTTATTTTACAGATGAGAAACCAGGATCATAGTGTTTGAATAATTTCTCAAGTGTCCTACTGATAGTTGGCGATATAGACTTGAATGCATTTGTTCGACTCAAAGCCTTTGAAGGACATTAATATGAAAATAATGCGATGATGGGAAATCACTATTAGAAATGCTCTTCTCCTTTTAAAAAATAATTTTCTAAAGAGCAAATTTCTATCCTATGCTTCAAATAATTAAGAGATGGCTGTGCTTTATAGACCATGACCAACACGTTGCCTGTGATTTCACATTTTAATAAATTGGATCTTTCTTCTAACCATCATAAAGGAGATAGTTGACTAGATTGGTCATTAAATGGTTCTCACTGTGCCACTATGATATAGTCACAAAAGACATAGTTGACTTTTTCCTGAATTACCAAGAAAAGTTGTGGAATTTGGCACTTATTGTTCAGTGGATTAACTCCTATAATTGCACTGAAATTAAACTTTAATAGACAAGATGTGGAAGCAGTGGAGAAAGAGCAGAGCAGGTGCTCTGCTCATCACGCTCTGGAAATGAACCCAATGTTGAATTGGAAAATTCCAATTAAATCCTTTTTACCTAGTTCTATTGAATTTCCCTATGTTGATAG